TGGGTGTCTGTGTAGACGAGGGGAGATCTACCTGTGATTCTGGGTGTCTGTGTAGACGAGGGGAGATCTACCTGTGACTCTGGGTGTCCGTGTAGACGAGGGGAGATCTACCTGTGATTCTGGGTGTCTGTGTAGACGAGGGGCGATCTACCTGTGACTCTGGGTGTCTGTGTAGGTCACGTGCTGATGGTTTTTTCTTTCTCACTCTAAGATCTTCCAGATGATGTCCGGGAGCGATGGGAGACGTTCTGCACAAGCTCCTTAGGAGAAACAAACAAGAGGAACACGGTAGATCTAGTAGGTTTCACAAGGTCACGTTTACATCCTTTCAATGTTGTTAGCCGTTGCTCATTTATTCAGAAATTCGTAAAAGGCCTTCCATTTGGCCCAGTAACTGTGGACCACAATCAGCTTATGTCTCTTTATCCTGAAGAAAGATCAGTATTAACAGTATTCTCTGATATGTCTAGTCAGGTTGTCCTGTTGTGCCTTGGTTGACAGTAGGGTCCAGAGAAGCCGCCCATTTCTCCTTCATGGGTGGGCTTCGTTTCCTTTCCACAATGTCTTTATTCCCTAAGCACCTCAGCCGAGCAACCAGCCCTGAGCTGCTCTCCACCTCAGAAACCTGGTGCTAAAGCCCCTCGGTGGTCCTTGGGGTGTGGTCCTTGGGGTGTTGCTACTCTTACTCAGTGGTTCACCATCATTCAAGTGGGGAAAATTCTGTAGATGTTTTGAAACCCATTTTAAAATCTTAAATAGAGTTGGTAATTTTAGCCAGGGAATAATGGCATTGATAATTATTATTATCTTTTTAATTATATTGGACTTTGGAATGTTATTTTTGTTTGTTTTGTGTTAACAGTACGTTTTCAGGTAAGTGTTGTTTTTGCCTTCAGAGATGGAGCCTCGTGCACCCTGGTTGGCTCTGCCCTGTGTGTTTGTGTCCGGCCATGATTCTAAACTGCAAGTCTAGTGGCTACCATCGTGACTGTTTGCTGGACATTTAGGGGAGCCACAGAATAGCCACTGGGTCCCTTAAGGCCTGGGACCCGCCTCTTGAGACTGCTTCATAAACCCAAGTGTATTTTCCAGACTCTTGACAAATTGGTGGAGCAGCAGCTTTTTAAGATGGGTTATAATGATAGAATTGGGGGGGCGGGGAGGTCTTAGGAGTTGGGAGAATCACAAATTAAGAACCATAAAATGTGGGGGTGTTTAGCTAAAATAGTACAGTGGCTCTGCGTGCTCAGCCCCACCTAGGAGCTGGCCCTTCTGGTGACAGCCCTGGTCATGAACAGTCAGCTGGCTTCACATCCAGGGCGCCTGCATCATTGGGACTTGATGGTGAAGAGAGGAGGCCGATCACTGGGAGGACTTGTGTACTTTCCTTGTGAATCCTGCCCTGGCAAGCTCTGTGACCCTATGGTGGGGGTGGGGTGGGGGTGCGGGGGGACGGGACGCCTCTGCCCCTTCCATCCATGCTGAGCAGAAAGACACAGCATTCCATAGGTTCTGTCATTCAAATTGAAGCTTGGTCCCCTTCCCCCAGAGTACCATACTACGTGGGGGTCCATGAGGGGCTGTTTCTCTTCGTTTATCCCAGCGTTGTTTTTTTTTCCAGATTTCGTCTCCACTTTAGTCCAAATACTTTCGATGGGAAATTCTTCTGGGTCCTCTTTTTTAGGGCTGTTCCCGTTTTTTAGGATGTGTCCACATTGAGATGAACTCTCCAGTGTTCTCGTTTTCCTGCCCAGAATCTGTCCAGGCAGTGGCCCAGTTGGGTTGAGTGCCATGTTCCATGTTGTGACTATGACTGCAAACACGACGTCACTGTAGGCCCAGTGCACCGTCCCCTTCATCTCCTGGATGGCTTCACACAGCACACACTTCAGAAATGGGCACTTAACCAAGAAATTCTCCTTTATTGCCTCTCTCACAGAGAGAGACCTGATTAGATGCACTGCTGAGACTTAGCGGGACTCAGGTACAGCCTGAAGTTCACATATCCAGGACCCGAGGGCACCACCGTTCTCATGAACGTCTGGGCTCTCGCAGGACCATCATGCCAGTGTCTGCACAGCACTCTCTTGCTGCCTGTTCTTGTGAGTCCCACTGCAAGTTGACTGAGTGTTTAGACCAGGTCCCCACACCGTTCCTCTTGGCCAGACTCTAGATAGTGGAGGTGTTCTGCTTAATCTCCTCCTCTGCCTCCCTTCCTTCCCAGTGTTGCAGACACTTCGTCAGGTGTTACTACTGCTTTCCCATCTCTCAGGGCAGAGTTCATTTAGAGGGACCCAGATGTGCAGGGACGGACCTCCAAGAGACTCTGCAGGTCTGGGTGGAGCCTGAGCCCAGAAGGCCACTTGTAGGCCTGTAGGTGCTGGTGGCCTGCAAGGAGGAAGGGTCTGCTTCTTCTGCGGTTCACTCACGTGGCCTCTAGAGGCTCATGCATCGGGCTCATCCTCCACAGACAAGGTGACACCCGTTTGCTTTCTCCGGTAACAGTGGTTCATTGTTAGATGTGCCGCTTACAACAGAATGATCTAGGAGACTCTGTGTGGAGAGACGTAACGTGACAGGACGGCAGTGAGTGATCTAGGAGACTCTGTGTGGAGAGACGTAACGTGACAGGACGGCAGTGAGTGATCTAGGAGACTCTGTGTGGAGAGACGTAACGTGACAGGACGGCAGTGAGGAGGGAAGACACTAGGACACGAGCTGGGTGGGTGGGGAGGAGCAGCGTTTTGTGCAGCTCTTCAGTCTCTGAGGGGCACTGTGGTCTTGGTCTCAGTGAGGTAAGAGGCCTTTGTTGACTCCCGATAGAGAGATGGGGTTGAAAGACGGTGGCAGCAGTTAGAAGCAGGGAGCCAGGGTTAGTGGTCTCATGGAGCGTTAATTCCGGTGAGAGAGGATGGAGAGGAGGAAGGTGACAGTGGACCTGGGGAGACGTGTTGGTTTTGGGTGATGGTGGGAGACAGAAGGTGGCCGATTGGCTAGGGAGGAGAAGCCGCCACAGAAGACTGTTTGGGAGTGCGTATCAAGAACTCAGTCTGGGTGCGTATTGAGGGATAAAGTGTTTGGGAGTGCAGGTCACGAACTCAGTTTGGGTTTGTATCCAGGGATAAAATGCTGGGGTTATGATTAGCACATTTCCCACCCTGGCTATATTCAGTGACTTTTTTAGCTCTTTTTTATCAATCATCCTTTCTGACTGGGATGGTGTAGGAAAAACCACTGTTTTTTGTTAACACAGTTGTGAGGAAGTGTGTGTGTTGTGTTAACAAAGTGAAACCTGTGAATGCTGAACCTGGCTGGGGCTGTCTTTCTTTTCAGGGTCTCAGGCTTCCACCTTTGACAGGTGCATTCTTAGCACTTGTCTACCACTCCTTTCAGTGGAAAAAATTGGTGTTTTCCTTGTCTGACGGGTTCCAGCTTTCACAGGTTTTTACTGTTATTGTTAAGTACTGTGGTGTCGGTTCCGACTCATAGTGACCCTGCACAGGGTTTCCAATGCTGTAAATCTTAATGGGAGCAGAGAGCCTCATCTTTCTCCCGTGGAGCCATTGGTAGCAGTTTTGAACTGCTAACCTTGAGGTTGGCAGCCTGACTCGTAACCACTACGCTACCAATATGTTGCTAAAACACTAGTGAATCTTTGGAGGAGAAAAAAAACTACCTTCAGGATTGCTTTGAGGATAGTTTAAGTAGTCTGTGGTGGGGCCACGATGCTGGTACACTGTACCTGCTGACAGAAGCTTGTTCCTCTAACGAGTTTGCTGCTAGAATCTCATTTTGTGAAAACGGTGCAAGTATGCATGAGAGCACATCATACCCGGCTTAAACTTGCAGCCAGCTCTTTCTGGATTTCTCTTGAGTAACCCCCTAGCTTGCCCTTGGGATGCTCTCCTGTCTCTGGGCCCCACCGTGGCACCTGCCTGCCCAGTATCCCAGAGCTTTTCTGGGTCCACTTCAGTAGAACCAGTTGGCATGCTTGCCCCTGCTGCTGCGTCCTGGTGGGGTGTTCCCCGAGGACTCCAAGACAGCTACTGCCGACTCCTGCAGGGGCCTCACCAGGCCTGATTTCGTAGTAGCGGAGAGACACTAGTGGTTGCGAGAATGGAGAGACGGGGGTGGTAAGGTCTCCTAGCATGGGGGCTCGTGTCATGGAAGAGGACAGAGGTGAAGAGTAGATGAATTCATCATGTGGTCCAGGCAGTGATGTCGTCAGAATTTTATAACGTCATACAGGCCAGTTTGAACTCTTCTTGGGGTTCCTTGGACCCACATTGGAATAATGTCACTAAGCAGACCAGGCTGTTGGGTACAGGCTTCAAGAGTTGGCAGTTACCAGCTGCTCTCTGTCCCAGACACTTCTAGAAAAGAACCCTAGAAATAACACCACAAATGCAGTGACTACTGCCCTTAGAAGTATAGTGCTTGTTTCTAGAAATCCGTGTTGTTGTTGTTAGGTGCCGTTGAGTTGTTTCCAACCCATGGTGACCCTGTGTACCACAGAACGAAGCACCACCCGGTAGACTGTTGGTATGTATAGTGCCTGCTGTCATTAGTTCTGTGCTTAGTTCTTTGTCAGTCTCAATGCTGATGGCTCCTGCCTTGCCCCCTAGGAGCGTGTAACACATCTGAGCTCTTCACTCATCATTGAGCTGACAGCCTGGTGATGTCTGTGTGTCTGTCAGACCTACTGAGGGGCCGAGCTAAGTCCTTCCCAAGCACAGGACTCTCGCCTCTAGGCCTGTTTAGCACTTGTGGACCATGTTTCCCTCACTGGGACCAGGAGAGGCAGGAATTTGAGGTGGAAATGGTTATATTGAAGCCTGGCCTATCGAGTGCCTCATTAGTTACCTTGGGAGTTGGCACATTTTACCCAGACAGGCCTGCTCCTTTCCAGAGAGATCTCACTATGCTGTGGCGAGGATGGTTTCTCCCTCCTCGTTCGTCACCACTGCCTCGGAAACTATAATCAGAGCGACTTCAGTGGAGCCCCTCACCCCTCTCCTTACCTGGTGACGCGGTGTAAGGGGCAGCAGGGCAGGTGACCAAGCCGGTGGGGGGCTGAGTGAGAAGAGCCCTTGGATCACCACGTGGGTTTAACAACTTAATTGTTGATTTGTTTTTGTTTTGTTACATACAATGAGAAGAAAACGAAATGTGATTTTATTTTAATTCCATAGAAATGCTTATGCAAATGTCCACAGCTTCTGTGTTAAATAGTGTTTTACATCTTTATGCATATAGGTCACAACCTGCCATATTCATTCATCCAGTGATGATGAAATTGACTTTAAGGAAACGGGTTTCTCACAGGACTCCTCTTTGCAGCAAGTGAGTCACGCCCAGCACTTTGCTTTTTGTCTTTGTTTCAAATGCTTAGTCGCCTGGCCTCAGGCAGTTCTACTTCTCAGGCTGAGGTGGGTGACAGGAGATGTTCTGTACCTGGTAGAAATGAGGCCGTTACATCTTCAGGAGGCTTACATGAACTGATGAGAAAATCTTCTCGCGTTATGCCAACCTTTAGAATAATTGAGCTGTTGCTTAAAAAATCATGTTGTAAGAAAGTTATGGATTTGAATAATAAGACTTTTCAAATGTAAACTAAACAGATAACCCTGGACCAAATAACTCATTCAAATGGCCCTTCCCCTGTGAAATATGTCCCCCTCTGTCTCTGCAGTCTACTCCCATGACCTCGAAATCGTGTGTGTGGAAGTAATTCACTGATTTGACACCCTTGCCTCCCACCCCCAGATTTATTTCTGTTTCTTAGATGTGGGGAAAGTACTGGATGTGAAGCATATATGATGTGGCATCCTTTAGCGGTTCTTGGAGAGAGAGAGAAGGCACTTGAGCCCCCTCACACACACCCCCCCCCCATCTCTCCTGGGCAGCACATTTGGGAGCTAAAAATAGACGCCCCTTTGAAAGTTGTCAGCTACTGGACTAGAGACAGGGCCCTCCAGAACCAGCCGCTCCTGGCAGGCAGAGTGCCTTGGTGTGGCAGAAGAGCGTTGGTAGACGCCTCAGTCTGGGCACTTTTTGCGGTGTGGCGGCTTTTCCTCAGCATCTAAGCCTCATCTTCACTGGGGCCAGGACGGAACTTCTGATGGCTGGACTGGTCCCATCTTTTGTCTTTCAAGTCCAGGCTGGGCTCAGCAGTTGCTTGGTATGGGACCTGGTTCACGGTCACCTTTCCGGGGTGGGCCTGGCAGTAGCATTTCAGCACTTGGCTGACTTCTCTGTTGGTTCCTGGATTTCTGAGTGCCACCCCATTAGCAGCCAAGCCCCAGGGTCAGGGAACGGCCAGCCCACGGGGGCGCTGGAGAGCAGTAGTGTCCTCTCGTCCAGTGCCATGCCCTCAGTGCCACCAGGGCTTCCCTAGCCTGGTGGACCCCTCATGATGGGGGGCCCAGTGGTTGCCCTGACCATTGAAGCACCTTACAGTACTGACACAGCCCACCCACCTTATGTCACTGAAAATGACCAGGTGGTTGTGTACCTGTAGTATAATACAGGCTTTGAGGTAAAGAATGCCCTAGGCATCTGTGTGTTGCTGAGTTCACCTAAACACGGCTCCTTCTAGGTTGCTGGAAAGCAGCTCCCCTGGCTTCTCACGAATCTGCTTCTAGGGAGGACACTCAGTCTTGCCCACTGGCTCCAGGCCCTCCTCTCAGCCCCCTCCGACCTGGCACCCACTCTTCTCTGGTTATTGGGCCGGCCAGGGAGCCCGGCCCCCACGTATCATTAGACATAGGTTCCAGAGCACTTTCTGTAAAGAAGGGGTGCGTGCAGGCCTGGATGAGTTTGAGGGGTCCACGCTCAGTGTGTCCTTTCGGTTCACAGTCAGGCTCGAAGTACGGGTCCTCAAATGAAGAGAACTTCCCGGGGCGTGGGCAGTTAACATATCACAGTTTTTATGGCTGAACCCCCAGCCCCTCCTGGTTTCATCATGTCCTTGCTTGATTTCGTTTCTCCTAATTCTGCCCTCCAGAGGTGGGGTTGGGAGGAGGTCAGTGCCTGGGGCCGCGAGTTGGGCTGTAAGTTCCAGTGAGGTCCCGTCCCATTCCACCCCTGTCTGCGTGGGTTTGTGGGCCAGCATTAGTGAGGACCCCCTTTGAAACCTGAGGCTGTGGACCAGTTTGCTAGAAGCCCTGACAGACAGACACCTCAGGAGAGGGAGCATGTACCGCTTCTGTCTTCTTTTCCCGCAGTACGCAGGGCAGCTCCTGTATCTGTATGCTGTTCGTATCAGTAGACAAACCATACAAACGTGTGTGTGTGTACATATTTCCAAACAGAATGCAATGTGTTTCATGTTTATATTCTGTTTGTGAAGTATTTGCAGTATAGGTGCACTTTTTAGAAACGTTTCTCCCCTCTACGCCCCAACGGAGTCCTGGTGTGGCGCTGCAGAATAATGCACTGGATGAGCTGCAAGGTCGGCGGTTCAAACCCACCAGCCACTCCTCGGAAACCCAGTACAGGGTCGCTGTGAGTCGGAACCGACTCGATGGCACTTAACAACATCCAAACGATTCTTAATAATGACCTCTAGAGGTATAAGGTTGAAGGGCGGAGTAAGAAGCAAACAAACCCTTTCTTATGTGTGGGGCCTTCTTTGTGGTGAGGACAACCCAGTTTCGAATCTGGGTTGTACCTAAACTCCTAGCTCGGGTTTATGCAGTTTGCCAAGAAGAATGGCTTCATGACTCTGACCCACAGCTTCAAAGTCCCGAAGTGTCTGGTTTTCCTCGTACTGATAAAGCCACACAGTTCAGTGTCTCTCTGAATTCACTGGCCCTGGATGCTGCTTCCAGGTTCTGAGTCTCCCAGAGCTTGTCCCCTTCTTCTGCATGTAGCCACTTCACGTTGGCTCTGCCATGCCCCGGGTGCTCAGTCATGCTCTACTGTACTCTCCAAGACCTAGATACGCTTTTACCCAGATTTAAGAAAAAAAAATGCCTTCCAAAGCCAAATATAAGTTCTGTTTATTCATTGTCTTGCCGTTTGGATTATCCATGCCATCATTCCCTCCCGCGGGAGTAGCTGTTCTGCAGCGCATGTCTGCAGGGGACAGGGCTGCGGGATAGGTCGAGGGGCCAGCCAGCTCAGTGTAGCGGTGCTCAGCACAGACTCGCTCAGCCGCGGTCTCCAAATTCACACTCAGGACAGAGTGACGAGGGCACACGCACCTTCACCCCTGGCCGACCTTGCTGGCTCCTGGGTCCGAGCCTTCCAGTGAGGGGTCGGCATCTTCATTCCTCTGTGCTCTCTAGAAATGCTTCTCCCCAGTGGCTCCAAGTGCTGCATAGGCTTTCCACAGGGATTGCCAAGGAGGGATTGGGGTGGGGTAACTGACTGCAGTTCATACCCGTCTGTTTTTAGTCTCTGTCCTCGGTGCACTGGGCTGGGGTCGGGGGAGGTGGAGGGGCAGCATGAGGGAGGGAGGGGTTCCCACCTGATGTTACTTAGAGGAAGGTTGGTTGTGTCTAGCGGTGCCTGATATTTCAGACTGCCACCTGTGTCACTAGGTCATGTCTTTAAAAGAGAACGTGCCCCACGCTGTTCTCAAGTCTGTCCTGGATTGCAGAGTGGCCACGCTACCAATGACAGGCAGAGTAAAACTACCGGTGGGCCACATTTTAAATACTTCCCGTTTTTAGCAAATGGTGTCTGAAATTATTTGAGTTTTTCTTTAAGACAAAACACACCAACTTTTAAAGCGTTGTGGTATGTCAGTAGAATGATTTCTGGAACACAAATGGGCAGATAGTATGTAGAATGTCATTAGAATCATGATATCACCGTCACTGGTCCTGGGGTTGCCAGGCCTTTTCTGATTATCAGATGCAACAAATGACGTCCAATTTTATTGACCAGTTTGGCTTCAACGATGAGAAGTTCGCCGATCAGGACGACATTGGCAGGTGAGTGCAGCTTCCAGTTTCTGTGGCTATCTTGTCCACTCCTGGTCTGTGTGGGGGTCCCTGAGGTGGGAGGGAGACCCGGTGGGCTCCAGCCCCAGACAGACACCTGAGGGCAGCGCACTCCGCAAAGAGCAGCTTCTACCTTCTCACTGGGCTTCTTTGAAAGAGGCTGGCTTTTCTGAGATGAGACATCCTTCCTTGAGGAATGCAAGCTGTTGGCCTACTCTTCTAGGCCTTAATGCTAGATAGCTTTACCCCAAATAATGAAGCCCCCCATGCACATCGATTCGTACCATGCAAACCCACTGCCGCTGAGCAGAACTGCTCTGTAGGGTTTCCGAGGCTGTCATCTTACAGAAGCCAACTGTCACCATCATGCTTTTCTCTCAGAGTGGCTAGTGGGTTCAAACTGCCAGCCTTTGGCTTAGTGGTGCAGCACTTTAAGCACTGTGCCTCGAGGACTGCTTTCCATAGCACACCAGGGGTGGTGTTGAACAACAGACCCGGCTGTATGCTTTCCTGTGACAGTGGTGGCTTGATGGCTGGGTGGGCTGAACAGTGTGCCCACTAGTGGACCCGCTTCTGCAGTCAGGGTAGGAGAAGGTGAGACATGGGGCACAGCACCTTCCAAATGAAAGGTTTTTGGAGATTGTAGCTCATTGGGAATGAATTCAAATGTCCCTGTTGTGCCTGGCGCACAAGGCTCTGGCTTTGTCGTGGTGCCTGGCCAGACTTTACCACTGGTTTGGCCCACTTTACCACATGCCAGCTGTGCCTGGCAGCAGTGGGCTGGCGTGGAAGGCTTTAAAGAAGTGTCAAATAGCCGCCTCTCCTTCATAGACTCTTGAGTTCTTTCCTCGCTGCTTTCCACCGGGACCATGCCATAGCCGAAGACCTCAGTAGAGTCCTGTGTATTTGTCTGTGGATTGGCTGTACCTGGACAAAGCACCGTGTCTGTGTGTCCGTTCCATTGTATTAGCCTGGTTCACGGGACAGTGGATGTTCATTGTTTTCTCAGAAGCCTTCTTATTTCAAAAGGCTTCCAGCCCACCATGCCCATCCAAATTCCAAGGGAAAGGGCGCCATTGGATGCACGACATTCTTTGGTGGTGGTTGTGTGTGTGGGGTGGTATTTCAGTAACTGTAATACTTGAAATGTGGGTGTTGCCATGAACATGGTTTCCATGAACGAGTCAGTGGGTAACTAACCATTCTTACTCTTACCGCTTTGTTTATTTACAGTGTTTCTTTTGATCGGGTGTCAGACATCAACTTCACCCTGAACACAAATGAAAGTGTAAGTCTGAGTGTTTCCTGTTGTGAGCAGCAGGCCCGCAGAGGGGAGGGTCAGTGGGTATGGCCTTCAGGTGGCCGCCCTGTGCACTGGGCCCGCCCCATCTCACCTCTTAGATAACTGTCTAAGTGAGGATGGTTCCCACCCTCACTTACCTGCTTGGCCCTGGCCCCTGTGGGCCTGTGAGCTGTCACCCTCGTGTAAACAGGCTCGCCATGCTGGGTGTGCCAGGGCCTGCCTCTCTGACCAGGCAGTTGTCCTGCAACACCAACTTCAGTGTCTTTGCCTACAAGTGCCACTGGATCCATGGCACTGGATGGGCCCAGCCTCTGGGGTTGATGCTGATCAGCATGACAGACCATGGGTTTCTTTGCAAATGAGATGAGGTATAGGCCTCTACTTAGGCCGCTGGTGTGCATCATGAAGTATGGGTTGCTTTTCCTCGTTCTGATGGATCTGTCAGGGCTTTGCACGGTGACGATTTTCTCAGGGAGAAGTGGGTAGAGGAGGTGGCCATGGTCTGCTGCTTTGTCCCTGGGTCTGAGCGCTGTCCTTTAGAGACTTGCTGGGTTGTTAAGTTACTTCTGCTGGCGTTTTGTTTGGGTGCATGTGATGTTCTTGTGGTTTTGTGCCGTGGAGTTGGTTCCGACTCATAGTGACCCTGCGTAGCGTTTCCGAGGCTGTCGGTCTTTACGGGAGCAGAAAGCCTCATCTTTCTCTCGTGGAACAGCTGGTAGTTTCAAACTGCCGACTGTGAGATTAGCAGCCCGATTCGTAACCACTACGCCAAGGCTTTTTCTTATAGGAACACAAGTAAGTGGCGTAAATGGTACTGCATCACAGAAATGAAACAACTTAAGACTCTTAACTGCCTCTTAATGTAATCAAAAGGTAGTTTACATTGATAGCTTTTAGGGGAAAATAACTTGGTGTTTAGCCTTGTGTCTTCTTGTTTCTTCTCTTCAGGGAAACATTGCCCTGTTTGAAGCATGCTGTAAGGAGAGGATACAGCAATTTGATGATGGTGGCTCAGACGAGGAAGACATCTGGGAGGAAAAGCACATTGCATTTACCCCAGAATCTCAGAGACGGTCCAGGTGAATGGTGGTTTGTTATGGCAGGCCTTCCCTGCACTCTATCGTGTCAGAATGTTGGACCCAGAGTCAGTACTCTGGTTGTGGTCAGGGATGGGCACTGCTGTGTGCAGTGGGCAGGAGTACAGACCAGGGCACATGGTGAGCACTTTCCCATTGGGAGGGGGTGGTCTGTTGTCTGGAATGTAACCCTGCCAACCCAAATCAAACCCACTGCCAGCACGTCGATTTCGACTCGGGCAGTCCTGTAGGGTGTCTCTGACTCGAGATGCCCCTTCCCGGTCATCACCACAGCAGCTGCCTCACGGATGATTTCTTTCAAAAGACTAAACATTTCTTAAAGGATTGAAGAATTGTATGTTTCTAAAAGTTCATCTAATTTGGAGAGATGGGTTGTTTGAGCCTCAGCAGGATCAGCCCCGTCTTTTTCCTGTCTTTGTTTTAAGTCACCCTAACACTCGACAAGTAAGCTAGGCCCCTGTGAACACAGAGTTCTTGTCGTCTGTCTGAGTGTTTATCACCAGAATCATCGTGGCTCAGGGGAGGTGGCTGTTGGATTGGCAACGGAACTTCTGTTGGCTTTTATCCTACCACATAGTGTTTTCACATGGCATCAGATCCAAAGTGGAGAGAATGGGTATGCAGTTAGAAAGCAGCTTCGCTGGCTGGGTGGAGCTGCGGCCTTCTCTCACCTAGCTCCAGGTCAGTGGCTGGCCAGGGCAAGGTGCTGATGGTCCTGGTCTAGGCAGGGTCATCCGAGCCAGCTGCTCTCTCTCACCCTGGCAACGTCACCCTCAACATGTGGGGTCCCTCTAGGAGACAGGAGCTACTGCAGCCTGAGGGCCAGGCCCCAGGAAGACACATACGTCTTGGTGTTTACTGTGTTCCAAGATAGAGCATCCATCCAACTTGGTTCTTATTTACTATGACATTTTGTTCCTCTTGTGGTGTGCCCTTCGCCTCGTACCATCCACTCAGGAGGGGTTCTGGCCCATACCCCACAGCTATGTAGTGTGTTCTAACAGAACCAGAAGTGGGGAGCACAGAGGACCCGTGTCCTGGAGGAGGGGGTGTCATACGGTGATGAGAGAAAGTGGGGGCAGAGCTGGCCTGTCCATTCATTAAGTAGTGCTATTTGGTAATTTCTCACAGAAGTGTGTGTCTGTGAACCACCGTCCCAGTCAAGGTCCTGCACCTGCCTGTCTCACCCAGATGGCTTCACACCTGTGCAGTGCTTGGCCCTCCTCTCCCACTGACTTGTCTGTGTCTTTAGGCAGTTTCTAGAGTTTTCTGTCAATGATACCATGCTCTAAATCCTCTTTCTTGTCTACCCTCTTCACTTGGCAACCTTTTGAGAGTCCTATCTGTTGTGTGATGCACCAGTGGTTCAGTCCTGCAGGTTGCTGAGTGGTAGTCCATGCATTGCCATTCTGTTCCACTATTTACTCAGTCACCTGCTGAGGGGCTTGTGAGTCATTTCCACTTGGGGCAGTAATATCACTAGAAGGTATCCTGCGTAGGTTAGAGATGTGCACTGTAAACTCTGAATCAGCCAGTAAAATGACTCGAGCACAGTTACTATGAATAAGCCAACAGAACAATCAAACCATCGAAGCAATCTGAGGGAAGACGGTAGAAGAGAACTAAGGCCAGCTGGGGCAAAAAGGATCCTAATAGCAGGAAGATAGCATTCAACCTAACCAGCTGCATCATCACTTCACTCCACACTCAGTGTAGTGATGTAGACACCCCAGACTGGGTAGGAAGCAAGGCCCAACTGTATACTGCCTCTTAGCAACAATTTAAATGGAAAGACACAGGCAAAAGGAAAAGGATAAAGAGACAACAAACCAGGGCAACACTGGTCAGTAGAAAAGCCGCGGAGTCTTTTAATTTCAAAGTAGATTCCAAAGCAGAAGAGGGCTAGAGAAGGTCATTTCCTAACGATGAGGGGTCAAGAGAACGTAACAGTTCTCTGTGTCTTCACTCCTGGTAATGGAGCTTCAAAATACACAGAGCAAAAGCATCTCTGCAAAGAAAATAATAGGCTGCCACGGAAGGGGGTTGTTTTAGCATCCCTCTGTCAGGAGTATGGTGAAATGGAAATCTGTAAAGATGTAGACACTTAACTACACTCTCCGCCAGTTTGACCAACTGCACAATTTATAATAGCCTCACAGCAGCAAATATCCATCTAGATAGAGCACAGGCTAAGGCCTCAAGTGATGCCAAATATTGTCTTGAATCACTGTGAAGTTAAAACTCTTCTAACAGGTTTTTGGAAAACCCCCAAGTGTTTTGAAACTAAATAACCCATGGGTCAAGGAAGACATGAAAAGGGAAATTAGACAATATTTTGAATCAGATGAAAATGAAATTGTAGTTTGTCAGTAATAAGCACTTCACTGTAAGATACTAGAAAAAGAAGACTAAATTAAACCCAACTAAGCAAAAAGAAAAAAGATAATAAGATCAGAGAGTGAACAAGGACGAAATGGAAAATAGTCAAACAATAGAGAAAATCTGAAACCCAAAGTTCCAGAGGATCACTAAAGTGGATAAAGCTTCAAGAAGCAGAAGGCCCCGTGGTCAGTATTATCCAAGATGGAAGGGTAATTCATGTCAGTGCAGTCTGTACGGGCAGTCAGAGGACAGCGCAGAACGTTTTCACTGTGCCAAGAGAGTTGACAGCTTACATGAGCCTTAAAGACACAAACCACCAAAAATAAATAGCTAACCTGAGAAGCAATACACCTGTTAAAGAAGCCGACCGGAGAAAGAGATTTTAAAGCCTCGGAAAGGTCACTATGAGCTGCAGTCGACTCAGCAGCACTTACCAACAACATGAACTCTATTGGGTCTCTGGATAGCACAGTGTTATCCTGAGAGGTTTATGTTCAGACCTGCAGCCGATGGAAGAGAGAAAGGTTGGCAGCGTTCCTCTGTAAACTGCTGCTTTGTTGCTGCTAGTGCGGTTGAGTCTGTTCCAACTCAGGATGACGCTGAATAGGGTTTCCAAGGAGTGGCTGGTAGGCTTGAACCTCTGACTTTGTGGTTAGTCCAGTGCTTATCCTACACCAGCCTTTGAAAGCCCTATGTGCTGTTCTTCTCTGACACACATGAATCAGAATCGACTTGATGGCTACGGGAAAAATAAATACAGTTAGCATCATACTTCATAATGAAAGACTTATTGAATGTCCAAGATAGGAGCAGGCCACTTCTCTTTAGGTTGTATTGGAGATTCTAACCAATGCACTAGGTCAGAAAACAGAACTAGGAGACATAGAAACTAGAAAGGAAGTAGAAGAATTCTTGGCTTTGTTTGCAGATGACATGATTATCGATGTAGAAAATACGCTGCCATTTACAAAGGAGCAGGCAAGGGAAGGTGC